CATAAATAAATACGAAGAAAACGAAAAAATTGTGAAATTTGATGTACAAAAGGCATGGGGTGGTATTCTCGAAAGTGGACTAACTTTAGTCCATGGTTTAATTCTCCGACTAAGTATAAAATGCCAAGTTTCCATATGAATATATTTTGGAATAATTTGATATGTCCCTCAATTTCCATGATAACATAATTATTTCATAGTTATATCGTTGTTAATTAATTATGTTATTACATTTTATTTGAATTTAGTGACAGATTAAATTATTAAAAAAAAATATTTTTATGGACACTTGGCATTCCATACTTAGTCGGAGGATTAAACCATGGACTAAAGTTAGTCCGCTTTCGAGAATACCACCCATGGAGAGTTGTCCACAAAATGATGTCATCAAATTGAATATCGCCCTCTAGTGACTAGTCATTTCAATCAGCTTTACCTTCCTTATTCCTTGCCCGATATTGTTCAGATTTTCACTGATTTTATTCAAATATCTTAAACTTAACAATAAAAGTAACTTAGTATGAAGGTTTTGGTTTCCTTTAAATACGATTGAAACAAGTATTTATATATTCATACTTATCAGTCTCGTGCTAGTCAATTATGGGTTAGTTCTCTTTCTATACTTAGGGATTTTAAGGTGTAAATTCTTATTCGTATCCAATTCACACTGCTATCATCTTAACATAATAATTCCTAAAAGCGTACATTATTAAAAAGTTCATTTCATGGAAGTCAAAATATGCTGCGAAAATAGATTATCATTTATTTAAGAAAATTATTCTCTTGTAATTAAATGATATAGAGTGTTCTAAAATGGTATGAGTTTAATACAACAAAATAACGCTGGTATATTCCATTTCCTGAGAGGTACCTTTCTTCCTGAAATACAAGTTAATGATTGGAACTGAAATCCATCGACTCATATTTTCTGTTATAATCACTGGTGGTCTTGTGTGGTTGATGTACGAGGGAGACTAGAGCCTCGTACAAAATTAGAGAGCAAACATTGAGAGAGACTGAGTGTGAACATGTATTTACGAAAGCAGTGAGACAGTTTCCATAACAGTTATTCTAAAGCGTACATAATTGTTTACATAATTTCATGGAAGTCAATGTTTGATTATGGTGTGAAAACAAAAGATCATTTTTCGTTTTATTGAAGTCATGCTTGCATGTAATCAGAACATTTTCAGTTTCTTAAATTTTCTTAAATTCCCTTTCCTCTACACTCATTCTCTTCTGTCTCTCTTTTTCAACACCATATAGCGCTTTCCATTGACTTCCTTACTTTTTTGAGGGGATGGAAGGAGAGAACAACTGTCCACCCCCATCCCACTTTGATGTTGTTTATGTGTGTGTGTGTGTGTGTGTGTGTGCGTGTGACAACATTTTGTTTGTTCGTTTGATCAAATGTTCTCTCCTTTGTATGATCTACTCATTTAACACTTTAACTCAATTTTCGGGCATGTAATAAACAAGCATACTTTTACTTTTAACATGCTCTACTACTTTACAAAAATAACATTGAAGGTCATAAGAAGTGAATAATATAATGTTAAGCTCCTAATTTTAAATTTCTATTCACTGAGATGTACGTAAAACATTACTGTTTCTAGAAACGTATTTTGTAATTCTCTCTATGTTACGAGCTATTTTTCGAAAAAAAGAAAATTAAAAAAATGAAAGAAATTATATAATGAAGGATAAGTGCATTATTGTTGATCACTTCATTATTCAAGCAAAACTATGAACCCTTCGATGGACCCAGATTTACGATGTAATCAAGAAAAGAGACGTTAAACATTTTAGATAAAAGTTGAACGTACCTACAGTGTAAGATCCATAATCCTCATCAATTACTTCAACACAACATATAGCATATGTTTTAATATTACAGTTAGTGAAATAAATGTTTTCCCATACATTTAATATTGAGCCATTATGAATAGCTTCAGAGGGGGGGGGGGGGGGGGGGGTGGGGGGCTCAGGTGCCCCCAAAAGATGTAATATTGGATGAACTTACTAAAATACCCTTCCAAGGTGCATCAATACATGGATCCACTTGTGATTAGTCACCATCATTATCATTATATCTGTGTCATCATTATTTTTGTTGCGATATTATCAGTATTCAAATAATGGGGGCTAAAACAAAATTATTTCTTTTTTACATGTTTCCAAGTTAATGAGTCATAGCTTACTGTTACAAACTGATGGACTGATTGATTTTTGTCTAGTATTCTCTCGGAGTTCAGAATGAAGCATGAAAACATGTACAGAACATTGAGTTATGTACGAATTCATGATGTGTGTCAGTGTTCGCGTATTAAAATACACGCATACGTTCGGAAACTAGTCTTAAAGTGCAGACACCGTTACGCACTCCAACAATGGATTGTGTCTCCATACAATGCGTGAACGTAGACTTTTGGCTGTGTGCGTGGGCTAGAACAAATGCCGGTCTCGTGGGCTGTAGCCTATATCGAGAAATGTAGACAAATTAGCTCAAGTAAATGCCAGAAGAACTTTGATAAAATTGTCCTATGTGCCGAATTTCTTGCGTATTCAAGAAATAAAGTACGGTAAATCTGGAAGCAGATTTTAGGAAAGATTATGTGTTTAGAAAACAAAATTGCACTAACAGTCATATTTTCCGATTATAGAATAATAATAGTATAGTATTAATGACTGCTTTGAGAGAAATAGTTGTTTTTATACGCTCAAGGGAAGGTTAGAATTGTGCTATTACCCGAGGCGTGCCGAGGGGAATAGCCCAATTGTAACCTTCCCGAGAGCGTATAAAAACAATTATTTCTCGAATATTAAAGCAGTCATTAATACTTTTATATGCCGAAAAAAAATAGACTAAAAATTAAAAAATAAACAATTTTTTTTTTTGTCGAAGGTGAGAGTCGAACTCTTGCAGTCGAGGATAATACACAGGAAGGAGCTGCCACCAAGTCGTCCCTCGCATTCTGGCATGGCAAATCCATCAACCCAAGGAACCTCTACCCCAAGGACCCACCATCAACAATAATCAGACAGGCACTGACCATAAGAGCACAGCTTCTCACATCAACCTACCTCACCCGAACCCGTCTTACCAAGATTAAGAAAGCAACCAACACAAAGTGTCCTCTCTGCAATCTTGAGGAGGATACCGTAGTTCACGTTGTGGCTTCCTGCTCGACTACTGTCAACCTTCTGGAAGACCTTATCGACAGAGCCAGTAGACTCCTGCATAATGTCCTCGACTCTGCACCAAATACACCACTGCTCAACACCCAGGACCCTTCCCATCTGACTTGCGCTATTCTCTTGCCATATGATCCATACCTTCCCTCCACTGTCAATGATTCTATTTTAAAGATGACACTTCACTATCTTTACAAAATTCATGCCCATCGCCTGCACTCCATACCCTCCAACTAAGGATTTTATAACATATTTACAGCAGCCTACTACTTCGAATGCGATATACTCGCTGATCTCCGAAAAGCGGAGGGACAACAACAACAGAGAGAGAGAGATGCATCTTAAACCAACGCCTTACACCACTCGGCCATCGCGCGCTGTTAAAATGCTTGGCAGTTTTGTACAATATATACATTAAAATGGATTGAAACCGGCTTCGGCGTGATGAATGCTTCGCAAAAGCACCCTTCTTTTACTTTTGCAATGCATATTGGCACGAACTTAGATCAAGATCTATCGGCAGATGTTGTTTTTTTGTTTTTGGAAGTTTATTTTCGTCTTCATGTCAACAATGCAAGATAAAATTGTCGGTAAGATCGATCGAGATTCAATTGTATTGAAATTACCGACCAATCCTTCGCACACATACGGTATCCTCGATCGCTCAAACCATTTTTTAACATGTAAACCTATGGGGTAACCATGGAGGCTGACCTATTTTTTTAATAACCATGGTTATTAAAAATATTAAATGTTTTAACCATGGTTACCGGGAATTTTACAGGAACAGTTGAAGTTTATGAATGCAATTTCGACCAATCAGATGGCTGGATTACTTAAGTGAGGTATATAATTGTGAATGATACATCCATTCTTGCGTTATTTGAACTAATACCGAAAATGTAAATTGATTTTTAATTGGATTTAATCAGTATGTTGACGTATCAATGGAAAATGATCAACTTGTGCGATCAAGTGGGTGAGCTCAATAGAAATGGTGTAGGTAAATATCACTGCGACTAGCTGGTTTCGGCTCATTCTAAAAAGTCAACCATGCATATCTTCTCTTTTCATGCATTACATTCCATCAAGGTGATGAGGTCATGATGACGTACTATCATGATGATTTTCTACAAAACAACGCCTGTTTCTTACAAAAGGATTCGCCATTTTCTCCATGACTGTTCAATCAATTAAGTTTGATCGGGAACTGTGTACAGACACAAATGAATTATTTAATTCTTAGCTTTGTGTACTATACTATCAAACACAATGTAAATTCTTCGGATAAAAGCAGAGAGGCTAAATTTTAAGAAAAATTATGAGCGTTTTATCGTGGAACAATTTTATGCACTGATTTGTGATTTGCTTTGACAATCTACAATTCATTTTGAAGCAAGATATTGTTAATGTTATATTTGAATGGAACGGAGCACGTTGGTATATGTGACGGAAACCAGACGAATAAAGTGGATATATCAAACTTGTACTGACAGGGCCAGGACCATCCGAGACGGATTCTTTGATCATAACATTTTAATTATGCTCGCAAGTATTTCTTCATTAAATCAGAAGCATTCCTCTGCCGTAATAATGCATATCAATTAGGAGGCTACGAATTGTTTAAACCTGCAGGATAACAGAGAAAGAAAAGGCTGCAGAGCGGGTAACTTCATTGATGTGTCTAGTCTCTTCCAAGAACGATTTACTGAACTCAAAGGTAACTTTCACAAACACGATATGGTCTAGAACGAAGAAATATCTATAAGATTTGTTCACAGTTGGGTCCACAGACATATCAAAATATGGCTGAAAGAGCAGCAAATGAGCTTACCGGTGCCTATAGCGCCCTTCACCTGGCAGCTGCAAATGGAGATGTTAATGAGGTTCAGTATCTCATTGGTCAAGGAACACACATTGACAAGTATGATGAAGAAGGTAATACACCTCTTTTATATGCATCAAGTAATCGTTATCTTGAGGTAGTTCAGTACCTCGTTGATCAAGGAGCAGATGTTGATAAGGGCAATATTGATGGTTCGACACCACTTCATTTTGCATCATCCTGGGGTTTTCTTGATGTAGTTCAATGTCTCGTTGGTAACAAAGCTGAGACTGATAAGCTTGATGGGGATGGTAATACAGCTCTTTACTCGGCATCAAGTCAAGGTCATCTTCACGTAGTCCAGTACCTCGTTGTTCAAGGAGCACAGGTTGAGAAGGTTGATAATAAAGGTTCGACATCACTTATTATTGCATCAGCCAAAGGTCATCTTGATGTCGTTAAGTATCTCATAAGTGAAGGAGCAAAAATTAATAAGCCTGATGTTGATGGTAAGACACCTATTTATGGTGCATCACTAAAAGGTCGTCTTCATGTAGTTCAGTATCTCGTTGGTCAAGGGGCACTGATTGAGAATTGCGATAATCATGGTGATACACCAATTCATGCTGCATCAGGCAATGATCATCTTGATGTAGTTCAGTACCTCGTTAGTCAAGGAGCAGAGATTGAGAGGAGCGATAATGCTGGTCACACACCACTTCTTCTTGCAACAGGCCATGGTCATCGTAAGGTAGTTGAGTATCTCGAGAAACAACAAAAGCTGAGGAAAGACGAACGATCTGAAGGTATGATTCACATTTAACTGTGATCCTAGGCGTCTATACCATGTTAAATAGCGATATTTGTATAGGGACCGAACTGTCATAATGCTTAACCCTAATAAGGCCGGGGGGGGGGCATTATGGCCCCCCCCCCCTCCACGATTTTTTTGATTGCTCGGGAACGCATATGGATGGCGCCCCGCCGCTCGCTGACTTTTTTCTTTCGAGTATTGCACAACTTTTAAAAGAATTTTTTTGAAAATCGGACCTACGGTTGCAAGGTCACGTGACCTTTTGTCTTTGCATGTCAGCCCGAAAATCGCTCATTTTCGTAATTTTTGTACAAAACATATGGAAAAGTCATTTTTCCTAAAAACAGATCAAACATGGGTTATTGGGTCTTGTTTAAAGTTTAGGTGGTTGTTTTGGGAGTCAAAATAGTTGAATTGTAGTAAGAAATGAAATAAAACAACAAAAACAATGAAATACATAATTTAAAAAACAATGAAATACATGAGAAATTATCAAAACAAGGGATAACATAAGGAATAAGCTGGCTCTTCCAAATTTTGTTTTCGTATTATTATTCAAAATGGTCTAATGAATATATGTAGTGAAAAAGAATGCTTAAATATGAATAATATAAGATTTATGGGTAAAAATGTGATTTTTATGACTTTATTTGCATAAATTACCATAAATATGCAAATGAATGAATATTTCAAAAAATTGAAATCATCATATTATTCTATACACTTCACTTGACATGCGTGCAAATTTTCGCGGCAATCAGCCGCTTCGCGGCCGAGATCTTAAGGGGGGGGGCCATAATGCCCCCCCCGGCCGTACTAATACCTCAAATAGCCCGGCCGTTTTAGGGTTAAGTTTTAAAAGGAAAGTTGGATTTTGGTATAGAGGGCGCTACACAATTTTGTTTTGTTTGTTAAGAGCTAATGAAAAACTCAATTTAAAATTCGAAAGAGCATACAATTTGAATAATAAATTCATCTTTGTTTGATCGAAATCGGTTCAGAGAAGGTTGTAGGCCTATTAACATTTCTAATATTTGTAAAGCCCCACAAATATTCGATAATTCTGAACCAGCCTTTGAACAAATATGATAGCGCTTTATACGTTCAATTCCAGCCAACGCCAATGTTGGATTTTTCGTGTTGGTATTAATAGGGACTTTTATATTTACACGAGGAGAGCGTGGACTGCCGCGTGTGACATTGTGTTAAAGGCATGTTCCCCGTATTCCAGAGGGCGTTCAAAATACGTACCCGCTGGCGGACGGTGCTAGCTGCCTATTGACATCAACAGAATACGGCTCTTACGCAGATGGCATGTTCCGAATGCCCGGACAATGCCGATTATCGCATACATGTGCCGAAGTAATACCAATCGCAGTTCGGCTCTAAGATTCGGCTGCTGTTTCCGCCCACTTTTGTGACGTCGCGATCGGCAGCAATCAGCTGGCTTGGCGAAGGCAGGCCAAGCCGCGCGTACTTTGATTGACAGCTGTATGCAAATTAGAAGTCGACCTTCGGAACCAAGATGGCGATGACTAGAGCAGCGATAACTACACTGGCGGGAACATGCCCCTTTACGGCACTGGGCCGTGCTGCCCGGCAGTGCCTTAAAAGGACGTCATATTATACACACGCAGGCGCGTACGCAGGGGGGGGGGGGTTGGGGTTAACCCCCCCCCCTTGAGTTTGTTTAATATGTATGTTTTGTGTATGTTTTTTTGGAACCCCCCCCCCCCCAACGGAAGAAAATTTCAAATTTTCAAATTTCGAGACCCCCCCCCCCCCAAAAAAGTGTCCTCTTACCCCCCCCCCCTGTCCGCTTACCCCCCCCCCCCCCCCCCCCCCCCACCGCTTATTTAGCGGCTGACTGTGTCGTTGCGAAACTTTGGGCCCGATTAAAAAAAAAAACTTGAAAAAATCCTGCGTACGCAACTGTACACACGTGGCGGTCCACGTTCTCGTCGTGTAAATCTAAAGTCCCTACTACGCACAAACAAGCCGGCCCGTGTATTGTTATTATAGTTATCCGGGGCGGATTTACGGGGGGGGGGGGGGTTAGGGGGCTAAACTCCCCCCTTGGGCTGGCAACAACAAAAAAACAAAGCAAAACATTTTGTTGGTAATGTCTGGGCCAAAATGATTTTTTTTTTTTGTAGTGCTTCCCCCAATCCTCCCCACCCCCGTAATATTGGTTGGCACTTTCTTTTCAAGTGTCGGGGGGGGGGGGGGGAATGAGAAGAAGAAAAAAAGTGCTCATCTCCCCCCCCCCCTATCGCATCATGAGCGTCCCTGGACGGTGTGTCCGCTCTATCAGTTTACAATTTTGTTATTAGGTGATACGTAACGAAGTCAACGTATCACCTTTTGATTTCGTCAAGATTTTTCTTTATTATTATTATTATTTATTTTTATTATTCTTCCTCGAATTTGTTCGCAGGATATCTCAAGACTGAATAAAGCCATTATCATGAAACTTTCAATGATGATAGATCTTAGTCTAACTTAGAACTGTGTGACTTTTCAGACAGTCAAGGTCATCGTGACGTCATCCAGGCGCCATTTTGTGAAAATCAACTTATGATCATATCTTCATAAAGGAAAGCCATTTTTCATTCATATTTATCATGATTAAACTCAATATCCGTCCGGTCAATTTCAAGTCAATAAATGCGCGCAAAAATGCGCGTACGCTTATGTCCGCGCGTTTACGCGCGTGAAAAAAATTAAAATGCTCCAAATCATCCCAATTTTTTTTTACATCCGTTTCAGGCCATATGGAGCATTTGATAAAAAAATTACGCACACGCGCATGCGCGCGCATTTTCGCGCGTACTGGCATTTTGCAATATAGAATCGCCGAATTTTTTCTGTCATTATATTTGGTACATTTTTCCAAGCATTTTGATAACTTGTTCACCTTTTAATAACGCAATGAGCGTCCGTCAAAGTTGACAGCACGCGCAGATCTGCGTTATCTTTATCCACCATACATTGGCAAAAACATGCCTATACAAAATTCATTGTAACTGTTCAGAATGGATGGGAACTCCCAATATGTTTTCATATTTAGATAGATTATGAGTTGGAGATATGATTTCATGTCTCATTTGACCCTCAATTAACTCATGATGTCATCATAATGGCCTCCAAACTCAACATTTCAATTTGCATATTATGACGTCAGCATATTTTTGGAAAATTAATTGTATCTCTGTAAATATTGATCAATTTTCTTTTAAATTTTGATATGTTCTAGCTGAGACAATTTGCTACAAGTATAGTTGCCACAATTTTTCATTTTGACTAAGGCATCAAGGCGTATTTTTGCGATTAAAGGAGGCATGTCAATTTTTCACATTTTGCGTGTATTCTCTATGGGACATATGGAGCATTTGATAAAAAAAATTACGCACACGCGCATGCGCGCGCATTTTCGCGCGTTTTAGCATTTTGCAACATAGAATCGACGAAATTTCTCTATCATCATATTTGGAAAATTTTTACAAGCATTTTGATAACTTGTTAACCCTTTAATAACGCAATGAGCGTCCGTCAAAGTTGACAGCGCGCGCGGACCTGCGTTATCTTTATCCACAATACATGAGCAAAAACATGCCTATACAAAAATCTTTGTAACTCTTCAGAATAGATAGAAACTCCCAATATTTTTTCATATTTAGATAGATTATGAGTCGGAAATATGATTTCATGTCTCATTTGACCCTCAATTAACTCATGACGTCATCATAATGGCCTCCAAACTCAAAATTTTAATTTGCATATTATGACGTTAGCATAATTTTGGAAAATTGATTGTATCTCTGTAAATATTGATTAATTTTCTTTCAAAATTTGATATGTTTTAGCTGAAATAATTTTCTACAAAAAAAGTGTTCACAATTTTTCATTTTGACAAAGGCATCATGGCGTATTTTTGCAATAAAAGGAGGCATGTCAATTTTTCACATTTTGCGTGTATTCTCTATGGGACATGACTTTTTCTCAAAACTGGATTCTACACTCCTGTCTTTCACGAGCAAAATCTCCGTTGTCTTAGCTTAATTTTTGCTGAGCTTCGGATATGTTGTAGCTGAGACAATAATCTATCACACGTGTGCCTTTCATTTTTCGATCAGATGCCGGGATCATGCTCATATTTTACTTGCAAAGTGGGATTTGAGAATTTCCTTTTTCCGTTTACCTGTAATCGCTATGGGAAATGTTTTGGTATATCGGTAACGCACTTGACTTCCATCCTCGAGATCCATGGTTCGAGTCCGGGTGTCTCCAACAATCTTTTTTCTTAACTTTTTTTTTCTTGTTGACCTTTCACTGAACCATCAACTTTGATTATTTAAACACGTAGAATCGCAAATAATGTAATAAACAACCCTATTTACTTTATTGTTACCCTATTTTCACTTAATCCATTACTTTTTGCGTGTAATCCCTATGGGAGATGACTTTTTTTTTCAAATCTGGATTCTACATTCCTGTCTTTTGCGAGCAATATCGCCGTTATTTCGGCTTGGATTTTGTTGATTTTTGAGTATGTTGTAGCTGAGACTATATGCTATCTAAATCAACCCTCTTTTTTTTCAATAAGATGTCATGATCGCGCTTATGATCATGATCATGATCATCATGATCATCATTATCATAATGATGATAATCATTTATCAATTACATTTTCATTTCTTTGAATAAGATAAAAATCGTCAAAAGGTGTTCTTCATGATGTAAATTAGAGTCAAATGTGTAACTGGTTACTGCACAGGGTCAAAGGTCATATATTGTTTCAATCTATCTTCCCTATATCCATGATGATCAAGGAGACACAATTTAATCTTGACATATGAATAGATCATAATGGGAGAAGCATTTTATAAAATAATATATCGTATATTGCATTATTCGTTATGTAAACCATTATCATACGTATCACCTAATTCGTCTAAGTGACGAATTAAAGTCTAGTTATTATTATTATTATTATAACAAAAACTCAA